GGTATAATCAATAGAAAGAAAACCAAGAAGAGAAATTTACCATGTGTCATTTCCTGACTGATAAGAATGGTACATGACTACATCCATGTTCCTTTTTTGCACTTGATGTAGATAAAATTTGTACAAGAAATCATTTTGTATTTTGCTATATAAAATATTATAATATTTGTGACCAATTTGGAAACTTTACCTTCCATTTCTTTCGATTAAAAAATTCTATAGAAGACAGACATGAACACGTATTCTTTGAAAGTAATCAGAATATAGGCTTGAGTGTATATTTTGATTTTCAAAATGATGTAGAGCTTTACTACCCAAAGTGTGGTTGGTAGACAGGCAGCACCCACATCACCTAGGAGACTTGAGAAATGCAGACTCTCGGGTCCCATCCCAGATCTACTAAAAGGAATTTGTATTTCAACAAGATCTCCAGTGACTTATATGCACAAGAAGATTTGAGATGTGCTAATGTAGAGGAATGTTCTTTTTCTACCCAACTATGGAATAATCCCAGGGGAAAGATAAAACTACGCTAATAAGAAAATTTTGTTAAAAATGTTTAACCATGAATGTAACAACTTTTAGACATGATCCACTTAATTAAAAAAAAACAAAAACAAAAACACCTGAAACATGTCACATTCCTGATGTATAAAATGAAGTTTGAGAATGGGAAAATGTAAATTAAAATTCTCTGTTACATAATAATCATGAACTGCTTGTATTAATTGCACACAATCTTTCATTGTTTCCAATCTAAGGTATCTTCTTTAGCAAAACATATACAAATGATGACTATTGCACTGAACACTAGAAACGTGAAGATTACCTTAGTAGTCAATTATTTAATGACTAAGTACAATAGTTTTAAAAAGAATTATATCAAGAAACTGATGAAGTCTCGTTTGATACACTTTGGAAACCATTTCCCAAAGGGGAGTTCATCCAGTGCTGCAAATTGTTGCTTCCTTCCAAGTATCTTTGAGCAATTCAACATCAATGCTGGGGGAAATAGGAGGGTAAAGAATTAGAACCAAAATCTCCACTTACAGCAGACTGCAAAGTCTCGGGTTGGGCTGTGATTCAGAGTGGAGGGAAGGAAGAGCTGGCTGCATAGCTGGTGTTAAGAAATCCCAAGGCTCATTCAAGCAGCTCACTAGCACGAGGCAAATTAAAGAAAGTTGCCCTTCTAACCTTGACCACACTATATACAACTCAGAGGCTGTGATTTCCTGATTCTGCTTCTCCTTCAAGGCTCTCCTTCACATTAGCCTGATTTCCCCTAAAAAGAACACGAAAGCGGGAGAAGTGGGAGAGAAGGAATTCTTCTGTACTTGCACTTGTCTCCCTACCTCCCCTACAATCTCTATGCCCCAGGAATGAGCTAAGGCCAGCCACACTTGCTGTCTACGATAGTGGCTATTATGCTTCCAAGTATAAAATATGTTGCAAAGCAGAATGTACACTGCTTCCGCTCTAAGATCTAGGTCAGTAGACCTTCCCTTCTCCTTGTGCATCTTCTTAGCTGTAAACACTTTTGGAGACACATGTTTGATAACCATCCCATAGTTTGAAAAAGAGAAATGCAGGTGCTTTCAATACTTTAAAAACAAAACCAAACATTTCTGAGTTCCTTCTTCATCAGTGAACTGCTTGAGCAGTTCACAGGGACTGTGTATCATTCACCTCTGTATCCCCAACCCCGGCACAGTGTCTGGCTCATAGTAGTTGCTTAATAAATGGTGGGGAGTTAGACTTATTTCCGAGTCCTCTAGCACTGAATTATTAAATCTTGGATTAAATCTTATTAGATTGTACATTGAAATCTGATCATATGTTTGAGCTTATCCATTTATATACAGGCGTACCATTAGTTTTTCCCCTAACTTAGTTAATTTCTCTTTTTTTCCTTTATTCATCTATCCAGGGAGCTCAGTTTTGGGAATATTTCATGGTAACATCACATTTCAAGTAATACATATGCTAAATAAAATCTAGCTTATGCATCATTGATGAATTAAAGAAAATATCAGTATGTTATGGATATCAGGTTTGGGGGTGTACAGCGACACAGGGAGTCAAAATGAGTGTAGCAAGTAAGGCAATCTGCCCTCACAATGAAACAACTTTCTCTTTCACTTATTAATACTGTTTTTTAATTTCTCTGTACCCCTCCAACACACTTTTTTTCCTTCCTCATCTCTTCATTTTCCTCTTCTCTCTTTTTAAAATTTTCTTCTTTACTAGGCCTTCAGGCTGAGAACCCACAAGAGTGATCAATATTACCTAAGGCATTCAGATTTCTCATCCTGTCTTTCTTACTCTAAGGATGGCTTCTGTTACCAAAGAAAGGATGTCTATGTTCAAGAAAGTTGTAACTGGTCTCCCGTCTTTTGCTTCTCCCGTAATAGAGCATGTGGGATGGGGTCAGCAAAGCAGGTCTATATGGAGTCTCTCTATATATCAGTTTGCCAGAGTAAAATGACAGCAACCTTGTTGGTTGATTCAGATGTTTACATCATTTAAATACAAATTATTGTTTTTTTAAAAATCAAGATAACATTAGTCCACTCCCTATCTATGAATTGTTTATTGCACAAGAAATTAAATGCTCTTAAAGATATTTTTAAATAACCTGGTTTGAAATCATTTTTTTTTAAAAAGCATATTCACAAATACCACTGGTTTCTAAGACAGTTCCTTCTCTACATATGAATATAGAGATCAGAGAGCTCAGTTAATGACATCATCAAATAAAACAGACTTTACCTCTGTTGCTGGTTCATTGCCCAAGAGTTGTTACTTTAAGATTTCTGACATATGCTAACTATTATAATTTCACACTTTCTTGGTAATTTTTTCTCTCCCTCTCTATTCTATTCCAAAGTTGCGTTTCTATTCTCAAACAATTTCAATATATGGCAGTTTTGTAAGTCACAATTTGCACAGGTGTGTTTTTGTTATAGGCACTGTCCTAAACCAAATCAAATGTTTCTCTCAGTAAAAAAAAAAAAAAAAGTTAAAACTATTAGAGAGCTAATTCTATTTTTAAATTATATGTAGTATAATTATCCTATCTAATTTGGAATCTATTCAATTAATATCCTCATTGTTTAAGAAACCTTTTTAAAAGAAGTGCTCTTAAAGTATCTTATAAGCAGTGAAACAAAGTTTTTGAACTTTGGTGCCAAATTTTGCCCTTAAATTAATTTTTAAATACTTATATCTATTTCAAAGCTATTTCACCATTCAAACAAAATTGCCTTTAAAAATTAGCCCCAATTATAATTTTTCAGTTTGTTCTAAAGTATTTTTTAATAATTCTGATTGAGCAATTAAATACAAACCTGATACTTTTATCAATTATAAATCTACATAATCTTCAACAACACATGCTAATTAGGGCACCAATATTTATACCAAAAACATCCATGTGACTCACCTGATGATTCATTAAAGGGAACAAATAGTGAATCGGAACTAAAAACAAAATTCTCTTGACTAAAAAAAAGACTTCTTGGTCACAAGATGGCATTCAACTAGGGATGGAACAATGTTGACAAGTCACCATATTTAGAATTGTGAAAGCCTATGATCACCGAAAGCCTGTAATATCTTCACTTAAAGCAGTGTCCTTGACTTTCATTATTTCCTATAAAGTGCTCTGAAAGCACATTAGTAAGCAAATCGTTCCAAAGCTCTTTAACAGTGTTCTTCTATGTCCTATGCAATCCTTATTTTAGATTCTTATCTTCATTATCATAGTCTCTCTAACACTCATCTTTGGGTCTTTGGTATTTTCTCGAATATACCTTTGGCACCTAGTTTTCCCAATCTGTTTCATCAATTAATGACAATTCTTTAAATGATATGCTCCATAGAACATAACCCCAGACACTGAAATCTCACTCAAACCTCAAAGAACATATGAACCACTTCAAATAATTTCAGGGATCTATCCAACTTGTTAAACAATTATCTTTCAAATTGCAAAATATAGGGACTTATCTAAACTTCACCACCAAAAGCATTCTGAAACATTTTGTCAAATAGTGAATGGTCAACTACTATACAAAAATCAGTGCAAAGTTTCGTCCAGGCAGCCTTAAATGTACTCTTCGATGAAGAAATAACATCATGTAGAATTTCTGTTGTTTTCACCAATTTTTGCAGATAAGACTCTTTAAAATTATCAACCTATTAAAAACAAATTTGACCTGCTTACCCTTTTCCTGAGCTTCACAGCCTGTAAAAATGACATCATAAATAAAATGTAAACTCTTAACTGAAAGCCCACCACAAATTTTAACTGACCTCTAGAACTTACAGATAAGCCTATCTGCAAGGCTCATTTTATTAAATATTACTTTTAAGAGAAATGTCTATCAAGCCAAAAATAAAATAAAATAATAAAATAAAATAAAATAAAATAAAATGGATCAGTTTGGAGTAATCTGGTTGTTACATTCAGCAGTTAAGTTGCAATACGTTTGCCCCAACGTGGATTGCCACCAACGGTAAGAGGAGAATGGTGTCAAACAATTATTTGGCACAATGCTTGACAAGCGAAAGCTTTCAGAAAGAACCTATCTTCCCCTCATTGTTTACAGAAAATGAAATTCGTTCCACCTTTAATATTCAAGAACACCACATTATCAGTTCAATGTCATTTTTTGTTACTTTCCACTAAGTGGCAGAATTTGGAAACAGGGACTTAAAAGTTTAAATTGGTATAAGAACTTGACATAGGTCTCCTTGTACGCATCATCTTATCTTAAAAAGAGCATAAAAACCTTTGCCTGTAAAGCACTTATTTGCCGCTTTATAATATGTGGACATATTTTCAGTTTGGATGATACTAAGGACTGCTGAGTAATAACCAGGCTTTTCTCCACTCAGTTCAGCATGCATGTCATCTTTGATCTCAAGTGCACTGGTAATTAGTGCCTTATTTTAACATCTTCACTATAAACAGTTCAGGCATTTAGAAACAAAGTATCAATGAACTTAACGGTTACTTTAATTCATTTTATAAATAAGCAGCTGAGAATTTTGCTCCAAGTGGCTGCTAGTGTAGCCCATTCCATAAATGGCATTATCCGAAGCATAAGGCACAATATGATATGAATGCAGCTCTTCATAATAAAGAGACTGAGAACAGCATTCCTGTACCATGAACTTCAGCCGTTTTCTTGTATCAGAATAAGCAGTCTTATAACAGGGAGCTTCTTTAAAGTATTCATAGCTCTCTTTCTCCGTCTCTAGATGTATCTTCCTCAGCAAATTGTTAATTAACACAGACCTTCTTAAGTAGGTTTCTGGGTCTTCAAGAAACCTGAGCTTCTCCAAGGAGAGTTTGAGAATGCAAGTCCTGTCCTCAGGCAATATCAGGTGCTGGAAAGCAAATACATCATTTTCTATGTTTTAGAAAAATGAAAACTAGAGCTTTCGCTATTGACAAGATTCATACAAATGAAAAAATAATAATAAGTAAACCCTTACTTTTGGAAAATACCCATGGTAATCTTGATGTAAATCTTCTTCTTCTGCATATTTTCTCTTAAAGTAGGCTACTTTCGACGTTGTTAATGTATATGTTAATACTTTTGTTGGATAAGCTAAACAAAATAAAATAATTGAGGAAAAGTCAGATTTTATTGTGGCAAAGAGTATTTTATCATATAAGTTTTACTTATAAAAAGAAACTGTTGACCCTAGAAAATAGAATTCTATCTTCATTTACTGAGCAACGTTATAAAGTAGTCAGGAACAATTCTCTTGTGACCAAAAAGCCTGTTTGCAGGCAAATGCCACTATTCAGATCCAAAATAGATGTTCCAGGTTGGACAATTATATTTATTTCCTTATGCATCTCCTCAGAAATAAAATACTTACCAATCCCCTACTTAATTCCATGCCATTTAATGTCAAAATATGCCCAAATTTGAAGTTGATTCACAAAATTAATGGAAAGAGGTAAGTTATTTTTTGTCATTCTTTTAGTTAAATTACCTAACTTATAAAGAAAATTTAATGTTCCTAGGTTAATCAAATGGTTGGCAACCCAATTATACCCTAAAGAAATAATTATGTGTGTCTGTAGACAAACCTTATGATACTATGGTCATGGTATGACCATCCTCATAACACAGAGGTTAATCATATGGAAATGAAAGGTTTAAATAACATTCTGCCTAGCAAACTTGACCTTGATATATAATATCTGAATGTGAAAATCTTTGTTCTCTCCTTTAAACTGCTATTGCTATTGGGGATTCTGACTTGCTTAAGGAAGAACAGAAGTGTTCTGAAAGCCGATTTGCAGAAATCACTTGGTTTAAAGGGAGTTCCTAGTGTGTACTGTAGGTGGTGCTCATATCATAGAAAACAGGCAAGTTCGATCCTAAAAACAAAGGACAAGTAGCTTCCTAGTGAAAGCACTGAATGAATTTAGAATACAAATTGAGTCCTGGTTAGTACAGACTCATTCAACCTCAGGGGGCTGACCCAAAATAAATGCTCATATTTATACATCATCGATTTTGCTTTTAATCCACACTAGGTGTTGAAACTATTTGATTCACAAAATTAGTAGTTTATTAATACTTATTAAATAAATTCATGATGAAGACATTTAATGTTTTTCCTCTGTCTTAAATTTTAAAAATCTTAAATATTAAAAATGTGCACTTCAAGAACTTGCTTGTCCTAGTTTTTCTTCCAATTCAGTGGCATCTGTATAACACTTCCTGCAGTTTTTAGTAGCTGGATGGTTTTCCTAAAGCGTAGGAAAAGCTACCTAAGTCACACCTAAAGCAGTCCAAAGTTTCATTGAGACCAGTGTGGACTGTAAACCCAAAGGAGTCTTCAGTTAGAATTGGCATGATTTATAAGGGCAGTAAGAATTTTAAAGCACTGGTTGGTCTGACCTAAAAAGAGACAAATGTACAATGATTATTCACAACTGAATCAAAGACAATAGTTGCTACTATATGTATGCAGTCTCTGAATGCAATAAGCAGAACTCAATTTATATGGAGTTTTCACAGATTTCAAAAGGTTGGGGGGGAAAGAGAACAAAATGGAGTATATTGAAAACAAAGAAAGCATTACAGAATCCAGTTTTCTTAGGGGCTGTTTTGGGTTGTTTTTTGGTTTTGGTTTTTTTGTTTTGTTTTTGTTCTGTTTTGTTTTTTGTAAAATGCATTTTCTTATGTGTATTTTTAAAGAATTTAATCAAATAATTAGGTGAAGCTTTGGGTTATTCTGTGATGACAATTAATTATTGCGACTGAATTCTTTTTTAACTATTTAGTTGATGCCACAGTGGTTCTCAAACATTGGAGAGCATCAGAATCATCTGAAGGGCTCCTTAAAACACAAATTGCTGGATCCTACCCCCAGAATTTCTAATTTAGTAGCCCTGAACTAGGAGCAGAGAATCTACATTTGTAACAAATTTCCAGGTGATGCTGAGGCTGCGGGTGTGGGGACTGAATTTTGAGAGCCTCTGTATTAGAGCCCTAGACAGGGAAGTAGTTGCACTACAACAGCAAGTAGAAAAGCAGACCATTCGGCCCATCAGCTGATTGCTTTGTCATCAGAATGCCAAGCAATCAGCATGATTAATTTTTGTTGGTAGTGGTGTCGCTATCCCAACATTGGCTACACTGGCTTCAATGCTGTAGCATCGAACAAAGCCAGACTGCCTTTTTAACTAAGTAGTGAAGGAAGAATGAGGTCACTTTTCAACATAAATTCTGGGTTCACATTAAGAAGTATCAATGACTGTTATTAGCATTTTAGCAGGACAGGTCACTGCTTTTTTTTTTTTTTTTTTTAATAAGGTCCAATGGATTACCACAGTAAGAAAGGATTGGTGAAAGACTTGGAAAGAAGAATGACTTCACCATAGCAAACATTTTTCTTCTATATATATTTTGTTCTTTTAACATCTGCTCATTTTATTTTCCAAAGGAATGCCGTGTCTATAGCATTTAAGACCAAATAAAACCTTTCAGTGAATGAAACAAGGCAGGACAGGTGGCAGCTTAGAGCACCGAACGTCAAATAAACCAAGGGATGTTCTGCGGAAGGCGTTTTTAATTCATAGATCAAGACCAAAAAATTATCCTAAATGTCTCCAAGGTTCATTAATTAAGATCCTGTCTGGCTGCATTGGAGTCATTAGCCTCAGATACAGAATGTATCAGACCCTGTAAATTCTCAGGGGTCTAGATTTGTGTCTCAGCTCCATGGGCAACACACTTAGCCACTTAGTTTATTGCTCTTAAAAAACACCCCCAAGGGTTGTTGAAATGCTGAAAAGCTTTCACAGCTGGTATTGGTTTGACAATTACCTCCTTGTAGGCTGTTTAGCTATTTGCAATGTTTTTGGCAAAAATGTTTTTGGAGGCTGCTTTTAGCCACTTTGAGGCTAAAATATATAGCAAACATAAGTTCCTACATCTGTTTTCTTGGCTGGATTGAAACTCAAAAACTTCAGAGCTGGAGATCAATTTGTTGACTACCTGAGTCAGCCTCCAAAGTTTACAGATGAGGAACGTGTGTCTCAGAAGGGTTCCATGATTTACAATAGTTGTGTGGCTACGAGTTTGGGTTTCGAAGTCAGGTTGAAGTGGGTTTGAATTTCTAGCTCTGCTCTTTCTTGGTTGGGTGGCCTTGAGAAAATTACAGAGGCTCTTTACAAGTCTTACTTGTAAAGTGGGGATGGAAATAACACTGGCTCATAGGACCGTTGAAATAATTCATTGAAAATGACTGGCACTGTGCCTAGCGTATAGTAAGTGCTCAATCAAATCCAAGCTCTTATTAGTGCCAATAGGCACAGAAACCTATCCCACAGACACCAATCCCAGCCCGGCCTCCTAGCTCTGACCCCAAGACTCCTTTCCACCGCCCGTCCTCCCAGAGATACTAGATTGTAATTGGAGAGTTAAAAGACTACAAAAGAATATTTCAAATGGTCAAGGAATAAAATACAGTACAGGTGCTATAACAACTCCAGCAAAATGTTTCTGGATTTACTGCCACTGGTCACACGTTTGGGGTGAAGGAAATGTAAATTGTTCTTGAAACATCCAGATAGTCATTTGGAGAATTAAAGTTACTCTAGATATCCAAAGAAATTTCCCTGTTATGATCCAGTAAACAGGTGCAAATCTGTTTATATCATTCTCCCATAACTAAAGAGCCAAACTCAATCCAGCCTTGACATAGACAAGGAAAAGTGAAATGACTTTATGTGTTCATTTTCAGTGTCCTGAGTTCTGAGAACAGGATATAAATTATAAAACTGAGTTAGGCTGAGCCTATATTTATCTCAAAAGGTAAAATGGTTAATGCTGGCTTGGATATTCAAATTGCTTTTAACGCTGTAATCCCCCAGGGGCACATAAAATATCTGTGCCCAGCTCAATGTATTTCATAGTGTAAAACTCCAAGAAGCAACAAATGAGAAGTTACAGAACGGAAATGACCATCTCTGTCATTAGAGTTCCAGCAGAACAATTTATACACATTTTTTAAATAAATGTTTCAAATGTAATTACAAATGATTGCTCAAGCGCTCTTCCTATTGTTCTGCTCCTGCCTCCAGACAACTGAAATCCTATTATTACACAAGTGATTTCATTAGGTACATGGCCCAGGGGCAGTATATTAAGGAAAGATCATCAGCAAATTAATTTACAAACACTTTGAGAGAACAGACAATAATAAAAGAACAAGCCCTGTCATGGCAATCCATTCTTTGTCTGAGATTGAAAAACCTGAGAGAGGGTGAAGAAGTGATGGGTTTAACGTATCCTCATCTGAGTAACGTTTCTATTCTCTTCCCCACAACACTTTAATCAAGAAACTGTAAAAACTGAGCTGAGATCCTCCAATTAGATAATGGGCATCTGTAGCCCTAGACAACAGAAGAGCCTGATCAATGGGGATTAGAAGGTGGGGTCTAGTCTCAGATGCAAAGCTCACTTGTGTGGTGGACAAATCATGGGTCTCACTGATTTCCCTTTGCATGGTGCTAGCCTGGCATGAGCCTTAAAAAGTACATGTCCCTATCTGACTAAATAATGCTTTGCTAGTCGCAAACCTTGCAGACATCCTTCCTCAAGGGCCACTTTTGTTTAGAAAGAGCTATCCCATCTGTCACTGTTAGCTGCATTCTTCAATCTTGTTACAAGGCTTAAAATACTTCAACAGGATTTTCTAGTGCTGTTCCATAGCACTAGTTCAAATCCCAGCTCTACAATGTATGTGCTTAGTGACTCTGGGCAAAGGATTTAACCTCAAAGAGCCTGAGTTCCCTCATCAATTAAATGGCAGAACAATATCAAAGTCATTGGGTTGTATGTAAATTAAGTGAGATAATGTTTTAAAAGCACTTACTCAGTGCCTGTCACATTTCCACATATTTTCTACTCTACAATAAAGGTTAGGTGTTGTGAGTGTCGTGATTTCATTTTTGAAATCATAGATATGTGCCCTATTAAGCAGCACTGTGTTTGTTATAGCAGGACATTTGTCCTCTCTTTGGTGGTAAGTACAGGAGCATGAAACACCCACAAGTGTGCTCAAGAAGGTAGACGGAAGCAAAATTCAAGGCCATAAAGCTGCTCCTTCTGTAGACCTTTAGCTTTGTGATAGCAAGATTCCATCAATTTTACCCCTCAAAACCCCTTGCCTGGCACCCTTCTAGATAACATACTCTATGGAACAGAATTCAGTGCCAGTTTTAAGCTCCAAATCAATGGAACAATCTGTTTCTTCAGATTTATCATCCACTCCAAGCAAAAGATTAACTCTGCTGGCAGGTCAGAATTACCAACAAGTTGTAGCTCCTGGAAAAGTTCCTTGGGAACTTCCAGGGATAACTGACAGGAAAGGAGGTAGAAGAGTTTCCCAAGACCAGCAGCATTTCTGGAACTGAAGTCCATGTCCCTCAGGATAGCCCCAAGCATAGGCATGGAATATTAAATAAAATAACACCCTTCCACAGCCTTCCTATCTTGTTCCACTGCTGATGACCTCTGAACAAAAGAGAACATTATTAAATGGGATATGACCAGCCATGTAATCATGAAGTTACCTTAGTTGCTGCACCAAAGCCTAAATCCTGCCATGACTGGGTCCTATTAATGATGGAGACCAAGTGCAGTAAGTTTCATGGGCAAACTTTGTGCTTTACCTCCCTTCAGCAGTGCATTCCTTGTTTTGAAGGATGATGTTCCCTTTCACTACACCTTTCACCTTGGAAAGTGGAAATGAATCAGAAAGAAAATTGGCAAAGCAATCATATTGCTAGATATAGGTTCCAAGAAATATCTTACCGATAATGTCTAGGGAGATGTTATAACTTCCTTAGATATTCAGGTTTGTTGCTCAGAGAGGAAGGTTTTTCAATCCCTTGTAAGTGGACCACAGAGATCTTTTGAAAAATACCTCCTCTTTATCACCCTCATTGTCTTCCACTTTGACTACCATCAGGTTTGGGTATATTGCCAAAAACATTTAGCCTGGTATCCCAGAAGGGTTGTAGAAAAACATGAGATGGGCTAATAATTAACTTTACTCACTAAGAATATAGGAGAATTTGCCCTGGAGTTGGGTGATTCTCTGCCCTCACTCATTGGCCTGATTTGTGTCACCACCCAGAGTGGCTCTAGTGCTGTAATGTCCTTCATTCACAGGGTACCTTTCTTCTAAAGACTATAAGTGCTTCATTAAATTGCATTGTGCTCAATTCAAACACTCCTCTTCATGTAATAGCTGGTTTTATCCCCCACCGCAGATATGGAGAAGTGAGCCAGAGAGCAGTAAATAAGCAGCACATGCAGACAGAATTAAGACTCTAGGCTCTTGAGTTGTGATTCTCTTTGCAGTATCCCCAACTTTTCTTGATGTTTGTAACCCATGCTCCCTTTTAATAATCATTTAAAAAATAACACATACCCCAGCACACCACCACGGAGGGGATCGCCTTCAAACCTGTCCTTTCTCCCCTTCTAAGCATCACTGATGTTTAGGAGACTCTTGTATCTCTACCTGCCAAGAAGACTTTTTGTTGCTCTTTATAATATGAAAAAAAGCTTAAAAAATTCTAACTATAAAGCTATATTATAATACTGAACATAACACTAGCAAGCCCTCAGTGGTTTTTATTAATGTCCCCTTACTCGCCCCACTAAGAAAATATTGCAGTAAACTAGATGGCTCTGTTATTAGCCTGTTAACATAAAAGTAATTGGGAAAATTTTTAAAAATAATTATGTTTGACTAAAAAGGGGAAACATTAAAGTAATTGTATTGACACTAGTTAAACAACTTATTAGAAAGGTGAGGGCATGGGGGGCGGCCATTGACAAGGATCAGTTCCTCCCCAAAATGGCAGGTGTACTTCTGCCTCAGTTTTAGTGGTGAATGTCTATGGTCAATTTACTCCTTTGCTTCTGGAATCATTATTTTATTTACCTTTCTCTAGGTTTCTGCAGCATATTGCTTTGACAAATAGAGCAATCTGAACTGGTTATGCCTCAGCTTTAGAGCTATTGTAAGGGTGTCGGTGTTCTGACAGCTAAAGCTAGCTGGCATGGATCCTCAGTGAAGAGCCCAGGCCTTTGGCATCTTGATCAAACCTCTCAACATTTCTCCATGTTTCAAAACATCTTCTAAACCCCAGGAAAGCAACACAACATAAAATTAAACACGGAATGTTCATAGACACATAAACACTTCCAAATAGAATATATAATGAAAAACCGAAATTAGAACTTGGTTTCAGTTTTAACCTGCTTGACCTCAGCCTTACGTAAGCCTTATAGCCCCAGCTACAGCCCTCTTCATAACTCGTGGTATGCACAGCTGGGGTTCCCATTGACAAGAGCAACCAGATTCTTCACTGCAAATCGGTGGGATTTTTTTTTCACACTCTTCCTTAGGATCTACCAATGTCTCTAGAAGTAAATGCTTATTTTATAATGATACCATTTCATTTATTCTTATTTATTTAAAGCTAACTGCCACGATAACATTTTCTGATGAATGACTTGAAACAGATATGTTCATCAAAATTGCACAGTGTACATTCTACACATTATACATTCATGATAGAATCAAAATTAAAATTTAAGAACTCTTTTCACTTGACCTTCTTGATTGCAGTAGTGGTCTCAATGAAAAGGCAGACCTGTTCATGTAAATTAAAGGGCACTGAATGATTTTAAACTCCTATGCATATTACATAAGAGATAGGATGCGTATAAATTACTAATGCATAAGACTAATGCATATACATGAACCAATACCTGTGGCTGCTTTATTCAAACTTTCCTTAGATTGATAGCATGATTAGAACTCTACATACCTTTCATGGCAGATGACAATCAATCTTATTTGTTTCCTTGGATTTATTTCTTACCATAAAACATACTAGTTATAATGGAGGAAGAAAAAAGGGGTGGTGGTACTTAAGGCTAATGATGGCTAACATGGCCATCTTTAGTGCTTAAAATTATTAAACATATTTCAATAAAGGACTATGGAGACTAGTACTTTTAGAGTCTCATGATAATCATAAACACTATACAACTAGACCAAATAAATTTTCAATTAGGTTTCTAAATAAAATGGTTCAACTATTTATTTTTACAAAGAGGTAAAGTCAGGGAAGAAATGCAGCAGGCTCTATTTTCATGAATTTGATAGCAATTTGCTAGGTTGCTTGCCTACAGGAACTGCACATGGATAGCTCAGTACATGTGAAAGTTAAACACAGCACTGGAGGGCTGAGCACTCATTAAACGACTGTATTCTGTCTTGAAAATTTGGTTTGGTTTAAAATGCTTAACACTCATGAGTTTCTATCATCATGGCCTTAATGCAAATTAAATTTTTAAAAAGCACCACAATCTCCTTTTGCAACTTGGAGAGTTCTCTTCATTTCCTTCATTCAGACATGCACCAGTTTGCCCATAGCGCTTCCGCTTGACATGCTTCCCAAGGCAGGCTACCTAATTTGGCCCAGTCTATTCACATGGGTCTTAGAGAGGAAAATCTGCCAGCCCACAAATGTTCTTTCTACAGAAAACCTCTATTGACTTCTACCCAGCAACCATCTATATAAACAACCCCTTATATTGATCTTGTAAGTTATGGTAATGCTACATTAGCATTTATTTCTCTGGATACATATTTAAACAGTAATTTCTTTTAAGCTAGTGATTACCTGGTAAAGCTGAATCAATCTGAAAAGTATATTTCTAGGACAGCTTCAGAAAATCTGGTGAGAGTTCCCCTTTGCACAGCGAGCATTTCTCACAGCCTCAGGCTCATGAATGGCTACCTGAGATTTTGAAACACGGAGACAGATGCAAATAACATCGGAAGAGTCAGGACTGCGCTGACTTGAACTGGTTATCAAGTCAGGAGAACGCATGCAGTAGGAGGAGGACCCTATCGAAGATGTTTGAGGTGGGGCTCTTCTGGACCAGACAGATAAATAGATAAACCTTCAAGCACACACAATTACTTTAGTGTTCTCCAGATTGAATTTTAAACATAAGGAACCTTAACTATCCTAAGAAATTTGGAAATAAGTGAATAACTGATTTCACCAATTATTTACTGGGAGATTATTTTGGGGAGATCATCAGCAGGTTGGTTAAAAAAAAATCAGAGTCAGAGATACTTAATTTGTTTTTAAATGCCAGATTTTGTATAATTTCAAGAAATATTCTTTCTAAAGTAACAATCCAGCAGTAAACTCAAAACAGTAACTCAATCATTCTCTGTAAGACACATTACTTCTCACAGGATTTGAAACAGCCAAATGGTACTTTTTCTTTGAAGATAGTTTTTCTTTAAAGGGCCATGCTGAACTGCACCTTTTCTAAATGGATGTATGCTTACAGATCTCATCATCTTCTATATTTAGAGAGATGAGCTTTCCAAAGGAAGATAGGCAGCCAATGAGGAGGATCCCATCAAAAGAGAGGTGAGTTACTATGGTTACTTTTCAGGAGATTGAGTAACAGTGAACCGCTGCTCCCGGCCAAATGGACCCTTTCCAGAGCAGGACCTAAAAAGATTGTTGCTCCCCATACGTGTTGATTCAATTAGTCCAGACTACACGATGTCATTTTAGCCTTAACCACAGGCTTTCCATGGTGCTTACTGCTTCCAGCTCTCCTAGCCACACACGGGCAGCGAAGTCAAAGGAAAAACACGGAGGGCTGAAAACTTGCGAACACAAACCTATTAACGATGGGCAGGGGAATCCTCGAGAACCAATTTCATGATAAAAAAAAAAAATGAAATCAGGTTATTCGGGACCACCACCTGGCCGCTTTTCAATCACTGAGGGCGGAGTAGGACCCCAGAACAGTCCCTATCCTCACCCTCAATGAAACGGGTCTTTTCTGAGCCTCAGGGGAAGGCACATTGCTGGATGAATCCAGACATACCTTGCAAGCTGGGTCCACTGACCAGGAGATCGGCGCATGCACCTGTTTCGTAGAGGCGCGGGGCTCCGTGCTCCCTCCCGCTTTTGCGGAGCTGTCACTCTTCAGCGGGGCGCTGACAGCGGCGGCGGCGGCAGCGCGACAGCGACAGCGGCAGCGGCAGCAGCGGCAACTGCAGCTCGGCGGGCAGCCCTGGCTCCTGCAGGTCGGTCCCTCCAGTCTCTGAAGCGCCTCTCGCTCCGGGTTCGGAACGCGAGGCGGGCGCGCAGCTGTTCTCCGCTCGCATTGGACCAGAGGGAGCAGATGTTACCCGGTTGCTAGGAGCGTTGCTAGGAGGCGATGACGCCCCTCCACAGCTCTGGAGCAACTTTCCTGTAGGTCGGGTGCGCTGGCGGGGGCTGCTGGGAGCTAGGTTTGAGAACTGGAACGAAGAGGGGCAGCGAACAAAGAGCCCCAAACGGGGGGGGGGGTCCTTTTCTCGCCGAAGTTGGGTCCCGGAGAGCTGGGGAGCTGCGGGTGGGCGAGGGCCGCAACTCCGTGCCTGGGCCTTCGGGCCCTGCTCCCATGGACCTGCGCAGGTGATGGGGGCCGCCCCCCGCCCCGCCGCCGCCCCAGTCAGGGTCACTCGCTGCAGGCCGGCCGTAGCTGGGTGTCCCCTGGGGTGATAGGGTTTGGGAATGGGAGTGGGACGGCACTTTCAGCGCCTGAGGAAGCGGCAGAACTTGGTCAGTGCCTTTTAAACACCGAGACCCACTGGGATGCTCTGTGCCTTGGAGCAGGACCCTGGCCATGGGAGAGATGGAGGAGTGTGTGTGTGACCTGGGGTGAGGCTTGTGGGATGAGGACTACAGGAACTTCTGCCTTCTGGGACTCTCCTTCCCCAATGTGTTCCTGTTTGTGTCTTCAGGTTTGCACAGTTGATAGATTTTGAAGAGGGAACAACTAACCCATGAAAATCAGAATCTCATCCCATTACTGGGTATGGCGGCCAATATGGTGCCAAAGATTTCAGAAAAATATGACCCGATGGGCTCGAATACTCCCTTTATGGAGTGAGGAAGTCTTCATTTTGATCCAATGGCTAATTAAAACCTCAGGCTAATATGTAAGCTTCTTTAAACTAAAAATATACAAAACAGAAGGTTCTTTTCACAAAGGAAAATGGAGAAGGTATGCCTGTTTCAGTCAATTATACTTTAGTTTAAATTTACCCAAAGAATTGATTGTATTGTTTCTGATATCTCACTCAAGGCATGTTTTTTTTTTTTTTTTTTTTTTTTTTAATCATTGCCTTTTGCTGTTGTTGTTCAATGGGGTTGTCATTCTTGGAGGGGAGGGATGATGAGAAGGTCAAAGTGGACAAATCCGGGTAGCCAGTGAGCCAATAAAGATAAAATGACAAACCTAGCAGAAGAGGATTGTCCAAAGCAGAGAGGGAATCCCTCAGAGAGGGAATCTCATTGAAGATGGATATACACCACTTCCCTTATTCCCTATAGGGTCAGGCCAGGGCCTGGAAGGAAGAGAGCACCACTGGGAATCAATTAAAAAGAGAAGTTGCTGTCTTCGAAGCCAGGGCAGGGCTGCCGTGCAGTGTCATGTTGACTCCTGCAAAGGCAGACATTTTGCAAGGCTGAAGGGGCCACACAAAGTAGCCCTACGAATCTCATCGGCCGCTGCTTCCTCAGGCACCCAGTACCAACTTGACACCTGTGACCAAACTTGGAGTTAACAATCTGTCAGCCCAAAGATGTAAAAAGCCGATAACCTTGTGTTAACAATGAACTTGATTACAGGAATCCTTTAGCAAATCATCACAGGTACACTTGAAATATCTTATGATTTTATTTGTCCATTATACCTCAAGGGTGGTCCAGTCATGCTAGCTTTTCTTTTCCTTGAATGGGGAAGGTTCTCGCTTGCCTCAGGTATTTTGTACAGGCTCTCTTCTTCCTTAAGGTGCCTCCCTTTTACCTGGCTTACTCCTACCCAGCTTTCATGTCACAGCTTAAATACCGCTTCCTCATAGTGGTTTTCCCTCACAGCTTCCCCCTGGCTAGGTTGGCCTCCTAATTACATTCCCAAATCATCCTACCGGTCCCATTTCACAATCATTGTCACACCAGGTTTTCAGCTAGTTGCACCTTGTTAACACTGTGTTTCCAGTACAGAGCACACAGGGCCTGGGACATCAAAGGTGATCATGAGCACTTGTGGATGGATGGAGCCACCCTGCCTGGCTCAAGGTCCCTTGTTTTTACCTTAGCTATGTAGCTCTAAGTTACTGAACTTACACAAGCCATGAGGGCAGTTACTGGTTGCTGTCCTTTCAATTAAATAAAGGAAAGGGGGAAAGCCCATCACATAGAAAATTGTTTTCTGCACTTTATGAGACATGTTGATAGAGCAACTTCTTTTTCTTCTTAAAGCATCTTAGAAAGGTCTCTACCTTGGGCGCCTGGGTGGCTCAGAGGGTTGAGCGTCTGCCTTCGGCTCAGGTCGTGATCCTGGAGTCCCGGGATCAAGTCCCGCATTGGGCTCCCTGCTCCTTGGGAGCCTGCTTCTCCCTCTGCTTCTCTCTCTCTCTCTCCTCCTCTGTCTCTCATGAATAAATAAATAAAATCTTTAAAAAAAAAAAAAAGAAAGGTCTCTACCTGGACTTTACTGGCATTGAGAAATTACCTCAGAATTCTTTATCTATTTTCCTAATTGTGTTCTCTCTGGGTCCTCCAAAGTAAGTGTGATCTGAACTGATCTGTTTCATCTTTCCTTAAAATACTCCTCTATCTCAGGTTAAAAGTAGCCTCCATCATCACATGCTGTAGCTCTATGGAGCAAAAAATTAAAAGTTAAAAAAACAAACAAAAAACCTCTTTGGAGAGCAGCTAGCTAACTTGACCAATATGGACAGCACTTCTAGTATAGTTGATCAGAAGAGACCAGGAAACCTCCTCCTCTGTTGTCAGTATAACTCACCAAATAATTGCCAAATCCCTTCTTCACCGGGGACCCCCTCAAGAAAAATAACAGCTGGTGGAAGACATAATGGAAAGGTCAGAGTAATCTCAAGATCACGGAATGGCTTAGTAGCAAAGCCAGAACTAGAGCACAGGTATGAACTTAATCCTGACTGGACTACTTAGGTCTGCAGATACAATTTTAGAAATTCCTCAATTCCCCTGGCAAGTGATCAGAGCACATCTTCCACTAAATATTTTGGATTTTAAAATTAAATATTTAAACACCGTACAGTCCACCTTAGAATCCATCTGAATAGTTATCCTCTCACCTCAAGACAACTCTTGAATCTTGTCCCTCATTGAGATGACCACAGATGTAATGCGAATCCATCTCCTGCTCCCTATCTGTTTGCCAAACACAATGAGATGTTTCATTATGTGGTAGAATGCACATTAAAATTCATCAGAGCTCCAAATTGTCACCCAAGCTTCCTCTTGAACCATGTCTCTGAGTCTCCCTGGAGAACCCCAGGGCAACTGTAAAGAGACTATGGAGTTTGCAAGACATATAATGTGATTTGATTCATCAATAAAAGGTTACTCAAGATTTTTTTTAAATTATTATAAGAGACTTTAAGAGTCATAGTCATGGATAACCATCTCAATTATTTTAACATTTAAAGATGGGTAAATCTCTGTTGAAGGATCAGAAATAGCAATCGTTTGTCAAGTTTTTGGTTCTGCAGATGATTTACTTTAAAACTCTATTCCCTCTGCAATATTCTGTTTCTGCTCACAATTTCATAGGACTTGCTTTGGTGTTTTCAGCAGGTTACATATGAATGTAGTGCACATACCCATGTAGAAATGCCTCACCATACTCAGGGCCGTCAGCTCTGAGTGAGCAATTAAAATCCTCAGTCAGCCCATAATGTTCCAGTTCCACCATGGGTTAGGAAAAACTGAAGCAACAAATGAGCTTACAGTTTGCTGGTTTTCCTTAAATAATTGCCACTCCTACATTTGAAATAAGACAGTTTTTTAAAAAGGAAAAAAAAATGTGTGTGCTCCTGTGTAGAAGCTTCTCACCAAATGAATATTCATTTTCCTGTACATACAAATAAACTACAATCCCCAGCCTTCTTAAATATAGGTGGAGCCATGTGACTCATTCTGACCAAAGGAGTTTATTTTTTTTAATAATTTATTATGTTATGTTAGTCACCATACAATACATCATTAGTTTCTGATGTGGTGATCCATGATCCATTGCTTGCATATAACACCCAGTGCTCCATGCAGAACGTGCCCTCCTTTATACCCATCACCAGGCTAACCCATCCTCCCACCGCCCCGCCCCTCTAAATAACCCTCAGTTTGTTTCTCGGAGTCCATGGTCTCTCATGGTTCGTCTCCCCCTCCGATTTCCGCCCCCCTTCATTTTCCCCTTCCTTCTCCTAATGTCCTCCATGTTATTCCTTATGTTCCACCAATAAGTGAAACCATATGATAATTGACTTTCTCTGCTTCACTTATTTCACTTAGCATAATCTCCTCCAGTCCCATCCATGTTGATGCAAATGTTGGGTATTCATCCTTTCTGATTGCTGAGTAATATCCCATTGTATATATGGACCACATCTACTATCGTCTGTTGAAGGGCATCTCGGCTCCTTCCACAGTTTGGCTTTTGCGGACATTGCTGCTATGAACATTGGGGTGCATATGGCCCTTCTTTTCACTACATCTGTACCTTTGGGGTAAATACCCAGTAGTGCAATTGCTGGCTCATAGGGTAGCTCTATTTTTAACTTTTTGAGGAACTTCCACACTGTTTTCCAAAGTGGCTGTACCAACTTGCATTCCCACCAACAGTGTAAGAGGGTTCCCCTTTCTCTACAACCTCTCCAACATTTGCTGTTTACAGAAGTGGTGATCACTGCCTCTAACCCTGGTCCCTTAACTGTACATTTGATTCTCCTGCTTTTTCTTCCTCCTCCATTTGCATGGCCATATATTCCTTCAGAGGCCCTAAGAACTCTGGGATGGCCCTCAGTCCCTA